GGGCACTGAGGCCAGTGGTGTTGTGGAGAGGTGCACTGAGGCCAGTGGTGTTGTGGAGAGGGGCACTGAGGCCAGTGGTGTTGTGGAGAGGGGCACTGAGGCCAGTGGTGTTGTGGAGAGGGGCACTGAGGCCAGCGGTGTTGTGGAGAGGGGCACTGAGGCTAGCGGTGTTGTGGAGACTGACTTGGAGACTATGGTGAGGCTTAATAGAAAGCAGTTGTTGTTGGGGAATTCCATCATAAGAGGTGTGTAGATGGACAATGGTGGTCTTGTGAGGTGTCTTCCCGGAGCTACTGCTCACAGAGACGTATCTGTAATATTGTTAAGCGAGCAAAGCAGGAAGGGGAATTGGATGTACTTGTCCATCTAGGGACGAATGACTTGGCTTGCACTGAGGTTTCAGAGGTTAAGAAAGTTTTTAGTGTTTTTGCCAATGATATACGGCAGGTTGTTTCCACACTGTCATTCTCTGAAGTTCTTCCTGTGCATAACACTCAGAATGACAGGCAGATGCGTATTAGGGACTTTAATTTGTGGCTTGGTGAATGGTGTCAGGAGCAAGGATTTGGCTTTATTTCTCATGGTAGCTCTATTTGGAATGGAAATAAGCTGTACAAAAAAGATGGTTTGCATCTTTCTCAAAAAGGAACAAATGTTCTCAGTGAGCAGTTCAGAGGTTTTGTTAGGATGTATTTAAACTTGGAGGTGGGGGGCAAAAGGGTGATAAAACATCAATCCAATTGTCCCCCAAAACAAGGACAGAAGGTGCCTGTAGCAAGTGTGTTAAAAAATTATAAGCTTAGTCATGTCTACAAATGCTCGCAGTTTAGGGAATAAGATCCATGAACTTGTGGCAATAATGGCAACTGATAGTGTAGATTTAGTCGCTGTTACTGAGACATGGTATAATGAGAAAAATGACTGGGACATAGCAATACCAGGGTACTCTTTATATAGAAAAGATAGGGAAAGCAAGAAAGGGGGAGGGGTGGCCCTGTATGTGAAGGATAGCTGAAAATCTAGCCTAATAAAAGTTAGTGAGGCGAACATAGTCTGTTTGGGTTATGTTAGATATTCGCCAGATTGTTTGTTGCCTTTGACACTGTATGTTAGCCCAGGAATGAAAATTACCCCCATGATGGCATACCATTTGCAATAGTAGACAACCCAAGGTATTACAATTAGGGTATGTCCAGTCTTTTTTAGTAGCCAAAAACACTGGCCAAAATTAACATTTATATTTGTTTATGTGTTTGTGTGTTAAAAATGCAAAAAAACAATTATAAACGCTAACTTTGGCCAGTGTTTGTGACCAAGTGGCTACAAAAAAAAAGACTGGACATACCCCATTTGCAGTACCTTGGCTTGTCTACTATTGCAAATGGTGTGCCATCATGGGGGTCGTTTTCATTCCTGGGCTACCATACGGTCTCAAAGGCAACGTAACCAATCTGGCGAATTTCAATGTGAAAAAACTGAAAAATGTAGCATGCTATATTTGACCCTGTAACTTCTCAAAACCCCATAAAACCTGTACATAGGGGGTGCTGTTTTACTTGTGAGACATCGCTGAATACAAATATGTGTATTTTATTGCAGTAAAAGCAAACAGTATTATGACATTCACAGTTAAGATGTCACATGGAACTAAATTAATTTAGAAAATTATTTTCTCCCTTTTTTTTATATTTTATTCATATTGAATTATGTTTCATACCTAAATATTTGATGTTAAATGAAAGCCCTCTTTCCCCTGAATAAAATTATATATAATAAGTGTGGGTGCACATAATATGAAAGAGGTGAATTACGCCTGAACAGACATATAGCGCAAATGCCAGGTTTTGTTTACGTTTTGTTTTGATCATAATGTGTACATTGGGCTCAGTCCGTAAAGGGGTTAAAATTAATCTGCCATTTGAGTGCCCAGTCCCTCAATCTGTCTAAATCCCTCTGTAGCAAAGTAATATCCTGCTCACATTGTATTACTTTTTAGAGTTTGCTGTTTTAGAACTTATGTCAGTTAATTGAAAATATCAATGTACATTTTTTGGTAAAGCAAAAAAGGATTACATTGTCATAGCTTTAAAAAATTATCAATGAAGTGTCTTTATTATTTTTTTATATCTATTACTGTTTTGAATACCTGCATTCACCCAACAATAAGTGCTAGTACTTAACATGTATGATCTTAATAAGATATAATATTTCACAATTACCATAGTTTTAATTACCATTTTGTTTGCTTATGTTTTTTTTTTTTTTTGTTTGTTTTTTTTTTAGTTTGGAGCACATAGTGAATCTGAAAAGAAGACTGATGAATATGATACTCAGGTATGTCTCCCGTTATATTGTCCAGTTTACTTTCTTATAATTTATCCTGAATGAATAATAGAGTAATAGGAAGTTTTTCAATCTTCCAAATAGTTTGTTAATTTGCACTTGTCATTTTCTTTTTCTTGATAGTGACAAATAATGAACGTAACAAGTTTACAATCTTCACATGTCTTTACCCTGTGTTTCATCAATTGCTTCTTTGGGTACAATGTGACGTTAAAGGCACACTCTAATGTTAAATCTAACATAAACTAAAACATGGATTGTATGTCTTTTATGTCCTTCAAATAAATGCTTGCTAGCACATTGGTGCACATTACAACTGGAAGCGCAGATCTTTTTTTTTTTTTTCCTATGTTTATTTGGTTTACACTACTGGAACTACAGTGGGAGGAACTGCAGCTCAGGAGAAGCTGTTAGTATTTTCAATCCTTTTGGTATTGCAATTACCTGTGCCTCTACTCCTTTTCTCTATTTTTAAAAAGTCTTGCTTTCATTTTATTTTCATTTTATTTTCACAGGCAATGAAATATTTGTCCTATGTATTGTATCCATTGTGTTTTGGAGGTGCTGTTTATTCACTATTGAATATTCGTTACAAAAGGTAAGACTGCTTAAAGATGTTTCAGAATATAGAATATCTATTTTTATATTGTTAGTAGTTAAAGGGACACTATAGTCACCAGAACAACTACAGCGTATTGAATTTGTTCTGGTCAGTAGAATCATTACCTTCAGGCTTTTTGCTGTAAACACTGTCTTTTCAGAGAACATATAGTATTTACATTACAGCCTAGTGATAACTTCACTTGCCACTCCTTAGATGACTGTTAGAGATCCTTCCTGGGTAATGGCTGCCTAAAATGCATCCAAACATTCAGTATCTCCTCCCTCTGCATGCAGACACTGAACTTTACTCTTAGAGATTCATTGATTCAATGCATCTCAGTGAGGAGTTGCTGATTGGCCAGGGCTGTGTTGGAATCATGCTGGCTCTGCCCCTGATCTGCCTCTTTATCAGTCTCAGCCAATCCTATGGGGAAGCACTGCGATTGGATCAGGCTAGCATGTCCTACATGTTTGTGTTCCTGACTCTATAGTGATCCTTTAATACGATGGTAAACAAAAATATGCACACCAGTCAATCCATAAGACTTGCTTTTCCCACATAAATCACAAATTTGCAGTTATGTTACTACCGCAAAGGATTATGGATGGGCATATGCAAATTAGGTTAACAAAGAATCACATTTTTGCCTCATTCCATTTTAAACATGGATTCCTTTGAGTCTGTGTTTGCTGTACACAACAGCTTTGATACACAACTTAGGAAAATATGCAAAGCCAATGAACCACTCATGGACAGCTGTTTCATTGTTAATGGAAATCATCAGCACCAGGTTGGTTACTGGTTTGCTTATTGAGGCTTGGTAGTGCTTGGGAAGCAAAAAACAAAAAGGTTATGGTGGGGAAAAAAATGTGATTGAAAACCCCTTTATTTGCACAGACATTTCAAGTGAACTCACGGACAGTAGTGAGACTGAGATGTAGCCAGGATCTGGGTTCTTCCACCGTCTCATACATGACCTCATGGCCTATTGACATTGTAATTTAGAACAAGTAAAAAAAAAAAATAAAAAAAAAACCTCAGTAAACTGGTACATATACTGAATGAGTAAAGCAGTGAAATAAAAAATAAAAAAAACCTACTCTGCACTTCTTGTTCACAGTTTTCCCTTGATGTCTTGAGCACACTCATGAATGCTCTGGCATAAATGAAGCAAGCTGAATGACTTTGTTTTAATATTTTTTGTTTTGTTTTATTTATATATATATATATATATATATATCTATATATGTATGTATGTATGTAGATGTAAAAAACAGATAAAATTCTTATCTTGTAATACCTTTTTTATTGGACTAACAGAATTTTTTAATGACAAGCTTTCGGGAGAACCTCCCTTTCTCAAGTCTGAAGCATTTCTGAGCAAAATGACACATAGAATTCAGTTGTGATACAGGGGTTAAAGCGACATGAGTGTAGATAAGACAGGTTTGTTAGAAAATAGACACCATCTTAGCAGAGGGTCATAAATATCTTGTTGAAGAGAAGAGTAGGGGGGAGAGAGGGAAAAGAAAAACAAACAAGCAGACAGTGCACAGGATGATACACTTTATACATGCACACACACAGAAATATGTATATGTGAAAGCATAAACATATGTATATATACATAAACACATATACATACATGCACATGGACTCATATACACAAATATAAATGCACAGTAATATATATAAGCATTCATGCATACGAGTATGGGAAAGCATAGGTCTACACATAGTACTTTGTATATAGATAGAATAAACATATAGGAATGCATTTTAAAGTGTTGGTACATATGACAGAACAGTAAGATAATGTTGGGAGAGTGTTCATGTAAAGTGTTGGTAGTGGGACAGGAATCCCAAATCAATATTTAGTCCTCTCTTCTTGCTGTTAAACCATTTAATCATTCTGGCTTCAAAGGCTTTTCTTTCCTGGGTATTTTTAAAACCCCCTTTCAGTACTTTGATTTCTAGGTCCTTCAGTGAGTGGCCAGGTTGGGTAAAGTGGTGTCCCACAGGAGTGCAGTATGATTCTTCTTTGTGGTGTTTAATAGAGTGTCTGTGCATATTCATTCTGCCATTTAATGGCTGGGTGGTTTCCCCAATGTAGCATCCTAGGTGGCATTTTATTATCAATGCATAAAATGCCACCTAGGATGCTACATTGGGGAAACCACCCAGCCATTAAATGGCAGAATGAATATGCACAGACACTCTATTAAACACCACAAAGAAGAATCATACTGCACTCCTGTGGGACACCACTTTACCCAACCTGGCCACTCACTGAAGGACCTAAAAATCAAAGTACTGAAATGGGGTTTTAAAAATACCCAGGAAAGAAAAGCCTTTGAAGCCAGAATGATTAAATGGTTTAACAGCAAGAAGAGAGGACTAAATATTGATTTGGGATTCCTGTCCCACTACCAACACTTTACATGAACACTCTCCCAACATTATCTTACTGTTCTGTCATATGTACCAACACTTTAAAATGCATTCCTATATGTTTATTCTATCTATATACAAAGTACTATGTGTAGACCTATGCTTTCCCATACTCGTATGCATGAATGCTTATATATATTACTGTGCATTTATATTTGTGTATATGAGTCCATGTGCATGTATGTATATGTGTTTATGTTTATATACATATGTTTATGCGTTCACATATACATATTTCTGTGTGTGTGCATGTATAAAGTGTATCATCCTGTGCACTGTCTGCTTGTTTGTTTTTCTTTTCCCTCTCTCCCCCCTACTCTTCTCTTCAACAAGATATTTATGACCCTCTGCTAAGATGGTGTCTATTTTCTAACAAACCTGTCTTATCTACACTCATGTCGCTTTAACCCCTGTATCACAACTCAACTTTGAATTCTATGTGTCCTTTTGCTCAGAAATGCTTCAGACTTGAGAAAGGGAGGTTCTCCCGAAAGCTTGTCATTAAAAAATTCTGTTAGTCCAATAAAAAAGGTATTACAAGATAAGAATTTTATCTGTTTTTTACATCTACATCACTGGACTAATACGGCTACAATCTCTACTTGAACTGTATGTATGTATATATATATATATATATATATATATATATATATATGGAAAAGAGAGAATAAAAAGTGTAGTTTTTGTGTGCTTTGTTAAGCTGTTTATGAAATATCAGTGTACATGTTATGTTGGTGATGTTTAACCAAAACTTCTGTAAATAAATATCAGTGTAAATAAAAAAAAAAAATCCAGCCGCTTTATTAACCTCTATAGGGACTTTTAAATTTTTAAAAGTACAGATATTCCATAATCAAAAATATCAGTGCCATTTCATTGTAGATGCAATCCAGGGACAGCAATAGTCAATATGATTTGTATTTTCTCTATAAAGCATAGTTTTAATATGAAACACTATAAAAGAGTAGAAGAGGAGGGGTGCGGAGCCGACTATCGAGCCGCATGGACGTGTGTTAGCTGAGCTCCTCCACATCAAAGTTCAAATCCATCGCCGTTGGGCTTAAAAATTAAACATGGGATACCCTAAACGTTCCAACGCTGGGCAGCACTCCTCGGGCAAGACCCCTGTAGGAAAAACGGGCACCCTGACCAAATATTTTCGGGATACAGCGGAGCAACAACCTGACCCGGTAGGCCTCAGTATTGCGCCAAACTCACCTCCCCTGTGCTCATCACCATCGAGCCCCTTGGGATCTGAAAGCTCAAGCCACATTGCCAACACGGATATCAGGGAGTTGATACGGGCACTACCCTCTAGGCACAACCTTGCTCAGATGCTGAGTAAACTAGAAGCCTCTTTTCAAACCAAGCTAGACACAATTGGGGCCGAGCTCCAACTCTCCAAACAACGAGTGTGGAGGATGACAGGGACACATTACAGGCCCAATGCCAGCACAGCAAAAAAAACGTGAAGATACAAAACAACCATTTCTCCTACATGCAGCGTTCCCTTGACGACCTGGATAATCGAGGGAGACATAATAACCTAAGGGTGAAAAGCCATGACAGGAGAAACCTCCAAGCCGTGCTTCAAGAACTATTTAACTTCATCACGCAGCACACCCTCAGACTCACCCTGGGATGTAGTGTGTAGACCGCACTACTATGAATTCAAAAACGATATACTCATGGCAGTCCGGCAGTTCCAACAACCTTGTTTGTTCTATACAGCAGCTATCGCAGTCTACCTGGACCTGTCCTGTCTGACACTCCAGACCCGCAAGGCATTGAAACCAATTACCGACCAACTTCGCTCCCAAAACTTAAAATACTGCTGGGGCTTCCCCTTCTCCCTCACAGCTACATACAAGGGCAACACCTCTTCACACCACCTCTTCACTCAGACACGTAACAGTCTTCCTGAGAAACTTAGACCTTCCAGACTTTAGGATACAGGATTCGTATGGCCCCATCACACCGCTGACCACGCAGATCATGCCACAACGGAACAGATGGCAAGAAACCCCTAAGAAGAGGAGAACAGATCCAGCAGCAGCTGCAGATGGGGAGCCAACACGGTACACAGCCAACCACTAATCGCCCACAATCCCTTCTCTACCACTGACCCCCTAAGTGGCACTCCTCGAGACTTACCATCCCTGCAACCCATTCAAGATAATGGACACTCCCCTACCAAGACCTGGGACAACCCCTGCTGCATTTAACCATGCATACCCTTCTCAGGTCTGAGTGAGAGAACCTCACCTGTAACCTCTACTACAACCGCAGGCCACGCAAGAGAGAGACTCCCCATACCTACTATCCATTGTTATGGACAGAAGAATTAAAATAAAATGGCTATTTACTAATGTCTATTTATTCTGTGTTCACTATGTTAATTCTGTGTTCCCTTCCCCCCCCCCTACAATGTGTTCAGTCACTATTTTCTCTGCAAATTCCTCCCATCCTGCTAGCCTCCCCCCTCCCCATCGAGCAAGCCTCATGTAACAAAATTCCTCTGTTAAAAGAACATCTTCCTTTATTAAACTCTTCCCCCACTTCCTTTGTGCAAAGTAACAGCTAACAAAATAGAGAATCACTGTTAAAGTAACTACTACTCACTTCCCCCCTCCCACCATGTAACCAAGATGGAGCTGGAATGTGGGTGGGAGAAGTCTGTAATGACGACACTACATCCTGTAGGGGGGGTTTAGAGAAGACCCCTTAGACTGTTAACCAATTGATGAATGTATACTGTATGTTAACTGTGACTCTGTACATGACGTATTTCTGCTTTAAAGGGGAATTGCACCCCCTGGAATAAAGGCCACTCTGGAGTTCTCCATAAACCTGCAATGTGTCCGGTGTGATTTACTTCCAGAAGACCTGTGCACAATCAATTTAGAAAGGAGTAGATAGACAAATGATCAACGTTTTCTTTTGTATCTAAATCACCATGACCTCCAGGACTGCACCACTCACGAACGACAATTACCTTTCTTCCCTGGTACCCCTCAACGGTAAAATGTGTTTACAAACACATTTTGAAGTATTATATGAAAAATGCTATAGAAATTAATGACAATGGAGAAGTAACGGACTTAACACTTTGGACAACGTTCAAATGTATAATGAGATGCCTATGTATTAAAAGAGGAGCTTATATCAAAAATAAAAAAAATTATAACCTTCAACAGCTTTATGTAAAATTGTCAAATTTAGAGAATAAACTTAAAAACAATGTGGACGATAAAATACTTATTGAAATAAAACAAATAAGACAACAGATTAATGATAAATTAATGGAACATATTAACAGAAATATTTTAAGATTAAAACAGAATTGGTATTACAATAATAACAGAATAGGTAAAACTTTAACAAATAAATTAAAATTAAACTCCCAATGGTGTAGAACTCTAATTGATTTCTTAGATCTCCGGATCTTCATCAAGGAGAATAAGTTGGGTTTCACACTATATTCCAAAAATATTGATAGGAACACCATCCTCCATGCCTCCAGTTTTCATCCGAAGAAACTTAAGGGATCCTTGCCCATTTCTCAGTTCTTAAGAGTTTTACGGAGCAATTCTGATTCAACCAGAGCATCCATTCAAGTGCAACAGATGTACGATTAATTCAATGAAAGAGGATATACAAATTCAAAACTCACCCGAGCATTAGAACAGTCAAGGAAATAGATTACAGAAGGTCCAAATCGGTCAGAGATGAGCAATCGTTTAATTTTTCCACAGGCATTGCATACTATATCCACAGAAATTGCCTCCATTATACGTGAGAATTAGAAGATCTTACAGAAGGAAAACTCTTTACCACCGCCTTTCAAACAAACCCCAATAATAAGTTATAAAAGGGGCAAAAGTCTTAAGAACATTTTGGTCCATACTGACCAGTACACCAATATTGAACAACAATCTAGAATGATCAATCCTGGTTGTTACAGATGCCTTAAGTGCAATGCCTGCAACTCTGTCACCTGACAGAGAATTTTTTTCATTCTAGATCTGGTAAAAAGTTCAAGATCAAACACAGAATATCCTGTACTACCACATTTGTTGTATACCAGATCGTATGCCCATGTGGACTAGTTTATGTGGGCACGACCTCAAATGACCTGAGAGAATGGCTGAGGTGCCATAGATCTTCTATACATTTGGCTTTTCAAAATCAAAGTGCAAGTACCCCGGTTGCCCAACATTTTTTGGAGTTGGGTCACCCTTTACCCTCATTCGGATTCATGGGAATAGATCACGTACCTGATTCACCTAGAGGAGAGAATTGCAACATGTTACCCCTTCAGAGGGAAGCTTTTTGGATACACACGTTGGACACAATTGCCCCACATGGACTGAATGAGAAAAACTTGCTATATTGCTTTTTACCAAGACGATAATGTGATTTATATATTTTTTAACATGTATATATACTTGAGCTGAAAATGCAACATTTTGGTGATCATCCCCCTCTGTCAGTTTTATAGTAATTCTGTTGAGCTATTAGTATTCCTTTGAACTATGATTCATTTGGTTGGATAAATCTGTGAATCAGAACGTTACACGAGAACTATTAAATTTTTGAACATAGACACAATTCAGCAAATGTGTAAAAGTATTATGAGTATAATTTTTTCGTGTTAGTAATGCAGAGAAATCAATTGCCTTGATATTGATAAATACAGATGAATATAACTGATGCTGAAAAGCACATACAAGCAGTGCCTAATACAATTGATTCCTTGCATATTCTCTGT